CATAAACAATAGTTTTCATTCAAAGTTAGTAAACCAAATTTAGAGCAGTTTTTAAACATGCTATTCAATAAGTTTATCATCCCATAATTAAACAACAAAATTGGAGCTAACATATATAGGAACCACCAGTGAAAATATATCATCGTACTTATTTTAAAACCAATAATACGTGTGGGAACTATATTGAAAACAATTAGGCAATATTAATCCCAATAAAAAATCGGGAATATATAAATTAAATGGTGGTAGTTGTTCAAAATTGTGAATTGGACAAACGGGCCGTTCTTTCAAAAAATTCAGAACATTACAATAGTTATATTAAAAAAACTGTTTGGGTTTGTAGATTTTAGAGTCACTTTGTATTTTATCGAATAAGTTGGTTACGGTGGTCTGACAACTAATGTCAGAAAAAAAAATCTTGTCCGCTATTCTTATATAAACCGAAAGTTACTTGTACATTAAAGAATAAATAGATGGACGAAAAAAAATAATATATCTATCTTGTCCGCTATCTTTGAATGAACCAAAAGTTACCTGTACACTAAAGAATAAATAGTTGGACGAAACAGCATCTTTAATTGGAATTTTAGGCTCTATTGGATTGCGGATCCATGTCAAATTTTATGACAAGTGAATTATGCGAGAGGCTAAACTTACCAAAAAGAAAAACTAGGATAACAATAACAGGCATAGGGCATGGTTGTACAGAGGTTAAATACTTAACAGATGCTGTCTTTCATTCACGTGTTACTAATATAAGATTTAGGGTCTCATTTTTGTTATTGGAAAACATTTCTGAAAATATATTTTCAATGTACGTGAATTTTCATGTATTACAAAGGAAGAAGAAGAGTGCGGAAGGTCCTTTAGAGAAAATACTATTAGAGATAGTAGTGAAAGATTTGTGGTGGCATTTCTATTCAAATCTGGTATTCCGGAATTAGGGCAGTCGTATGACATCGCTCGAAAAGGTTTTTTCAACCAGAAAGAAAACTGACTAAGAATGAGAGTATAAGAAAAGAGTATTTTCAGTTTATCAGTGAATACGTTAAAATGGAACATGCTTCAATAGTAATCGTTGCAGGGGCTGATGTAAGGGGTGATTCGAGCATTTGTTATCTTTCTCATCATTGTGTAATTAAGGAAATGTCATTGACCACTAAGTTACGGGTGGTTTTTGACGCCAGTGATGCAACAAGTAATGGATTATCTCTTAATGATAAATTAATAGTAGGTCATAAATTGCTGCAGGATATTTTTTTAATATATTAGTTCGCTTCAGAACACATGAGGTAGTAGTGTCTGCGGACGTTGCTAAAATGTATCGCCAAGAGCTAGTAAGGGCGGATAACAGAGATTTTTAAAGGATAATATGGAGAACTTCAAGTGAGGATCCAGTTCGGATATATAGATTAAATACTGTAACCTATGGAACAGCAAGTGCTCCATTTTGGCAGTAAGATAAATATTCCGAAATCAGTAGGATGATCTGTTGACAGGATCAACGTCTGTTGAAGGGGCTAAGGTAATAAAGCAGGAAATTAGTAGAATTTTAGAATCAGGCGGTTTCATTTTAAGGAAGTGGATATCAAATAAACGTCAGGATTTGCGATGAAGGGATACAAGACATAAAGCATTACAGTTCTGGTGTTTCTGAAAATTCTAAAATTCTAAAATATTGGGGCTATTATGGAATTCTAGTAGAGACGTTTTACGATTTCAAGTAAACTTAGATAGCTTGGCAGCTCATAAAACAGTGATAAAACAGATAATATTAGTGACTGTGGCGCAAGTGCTCGATCCGTTAGGTTTGATAGATCCGATTGTTATGAAGGCAAAGCTTCCATTGCAGCACTTGTGGACAGTTGAAAAGGGGTGGGATGAAGAATTAGTTGGAGAAATATCGACTTCTTGGTTAAGGTTTAAGGAACAAATTATGGAATTGGATTCGCTGGAGATACCTAGACATGTCTTTTGCACTCAGAGAAATTCAAATACACTGTATCAGTGATGCTTCGACACTTGCTTATGGTGCATGTATTTACATGCAAACCACGAATTCATAAGGTAGGTATGAATCCAAACTTTTTTGTTCTAAATCTAGAGTTGCGACTATAAAATTAATTTCATTACCTAGACTAGAACTTTGTGGTGTACTTCTGTTGGCCAAATGAACAAAAGTAGTAATGAACTCAATAAACTTCAATGTTAATAGGGTAATATTTTGGTGCGACTCTTCCATAGTATTATGATGGGTGGCGGGAAAACCAACTAATTGGGTGACATTCGTGGCAAATAGAACATCAGAAATTCAAAGTCTTACTAAGGGTTTTATATGGAGACATGTTGCATCAGCAGATAGTCCAGCAGATGTCGTGTCACGAGGTATGAACTTAGACCAGTTAAAAAATTGTAAATTATGGTGGAGGGGTCCAGATTGACTTTATACGGATCCAGCAGACTGGCCTAAACAAAAATAGTTTGAAATTCTTGATATACCTGAAAGAAGAACAATTCAAAATGTATTTTTAGTCTTGATATCTTTGAAAGATATTCCAATTTACTTAAATTGCAAAGGGTTTTAAATTATTGTTTACGATTCATGAGTAACTGTAGGAAACCTAAAGCATTAAGACTCACTGGATCCTTAATAGTTGGGGAACTGAAATCTTGCATGATGGTGTTAGTTAAGACGTCGCAAAGCCAAGATTGGAAAATTGAAATTAGGCTATTACAGAAATCCAAATATATTCCTAGAGCAAGCAAGCTTTTAGCGTTTTATCCATTTCTGGATAACGAAGGTATTCTAAGGGTGGGCGGAAGGTTAGCAAATTCTAATTTACAATTTAAACAAAAACATCCTGCTATATTATCCGGTAAGAATAAGTTTACTAAACCATTAATTAATTATGAACATAAGAGGTTATTACATGCAGGACCACAAGCCTTACTAGCACATATTCGTCAAAAATTTTTGGATAATTTCGGGAAAAACAGTTGTAAAAAATATGGCTCAAAAATGTATAACTTGTGCAAGGGCTAAATCTCAAAATTTTAATCAGCTCATGGGTGATTTGCCCAAGGATCGTGTGATACCCAATCGGCCTTTTAGTAATTGCGGTTAAGATTACGCTGGACCATTTGAAATAATGGTTAAAATGCTGTGCTTCAACAAAAGCCTATTTATGTATATTTGTCTGCTTCTTAACAAGGGCTGTATATTTGGAACTAGTGAGTGGCTCTAATACTCATGCATTTTTAAATTGTTTTAAGAGATTTGTCTCCAGAAGAGGCTTGCCGACCAATATTTATTCAGATAATGCAACAAATTTCGTAAGGGCGCGAAACGAAATGAGGACTCTTGTAAATTTCATTAAAGAAAGACAAGTTCAAACCTAATTTGAACAATATTTTACAGAATTATCAATTAACGGGCATTTTATTCCGCTAAGGGGTTGTGATAATCTGCGGTAAGGATAGCTAAATATCAGCTAACTCAGGTTATAGGATAACAGAAACTAACTTTTTAGAAGCTAATAACTATAATAACACAAGTAGAATCTTGCATGAATTCAAGACCGCCTTGAACGCCTGAAGGAAGATATAGAGGACTTGCAGGTACTCACCCCAGGGCATTTGTTAATTGGAACGTTTTTATTGGCACCACCCCAAGGAGAGTTGACAAATACCAACAATAAAAGGTTAAATCGTTACCAGCTGATCTCTCAAATCGTCCAAAGCTTTTTGAAGAAATGATCTCGCAAGTATTTGTCCAATCTACAAATGGAAAACTGTTGAAAATATCAAAGTGGGTAAGTTGGTTGTCATTTAAGACCAAGATTGGCCACCTCTTAAGTGGAAAATAGCTAGAATTACTATGTTTCATCCAGGAAAGGACGGAATTAGTTGCATTGTGGCAATAAAAACTTTAAATGGTTTGTGTCGAAGAGCATTAGGCGAACTTTGTGTATTGTCCGTAGAAAGGGCATAAGTATATTTAGAGAATTTTAAATTATTATTGTTATTGTTGGTGAATTCTAGGTTTAGGTAATTTTGTTTCAGTTGATTGGTTCAATTAATACATTTGTTAATTGTATTGAATGATAATATCATCAACAACAATATTTCTACTTTTTCAAATCGTATTTTGGCTAAATATCAATTTTTAGAGAAAATTTTGATATTTTACATATAGAGAATAAGGATATTAAATTTATTCATTTAGAAACGCTTGAAATAAATTTAAAAATTCAAATAATCTATTAAATGATGAATCAGATATTATTAACTCATGCTTATTAATTTTCTTTACCTGTTCTTAGTTTTCTGTGAGATGTCCCGGTAATGGTATTACCTTTTTGGAATTTTATTAGTATATTTCTTAAGCACTTTAACTATATTTAGTATACTTTGTAAATATATTAGATGCCGAACTCTACATTAGACATGCTTGGAGAAGAAGTTTGTGTTTGTGAAAATCTACCATTTTGGTTTTTCTTCGGTTATTTAAAATCAAATTATTTTTGAATTTATCTTTTGAATAGCACTGAATAATTGGAAATAAGACACATATTTTTTCAATATTACAATATTTAAAATTAAATTGCAATTAGTAAAAAAAAAATTGATTATTTTATTACGATTTGTAGTATTCTTTCTGCACTATGAAATTTAAAATATCGCGAACACAATTATTTTATTTATTTTTTATTAACAAAAAACATTGCTGTGATCTACATCGCCAAGGACGAATTCTTTGGCCCATCCAGTATACAGACGATAGGGATTCAGCATCAGTTTTTACCGAAAAAAGCCTGCAAAGTCTTATCTAGTTCAGGAACCACGAACGTGTGGAATTTTCTAACTCGTGTATGTTAGAGACTGTGGTTAAATATGTAGGTTAAATATTACCTACTCCTTATGAATGACTTGTATAAGGAATATCAAAAGAGAAATAATAATTTTTTACAAAAAAGCTCAATTTAAATCAAAAGACTCACCATTTGGGGCCGCTCAACCCTGTTCCATTTTCTGCTCTCTTTGTTGTTCCAGTATTTCTTACAGTTTTTCCATTCAATCCATTATTCCCAGTAAATTTGCCCGATTAAAACGCGTCCGGAAAATCTTCTAATACCGACGACATTAATGATCATCGTATCATATTCAATTCTATATCAACCCTTCGATACGTCTAGATGTATCTCCGGCTAGTATATCTGCAGCCTTGTCCATTTGATCCAAGAAGGTACATCCCAAGACACTATAATGTAAATCGAAGATCAACACTAAATATCAAAGAACATACATTCTAAGATAAAACGTCTTTATTGTCAGAGGTGAAATGAACATGAACTTAGACCACTGATATCGTGCTACCGATCAACTTTCGAATTATTAGCGGCGATTTCAATTTTTTACGGAAGATCGCTGAAAAGAAAAACAGCAATTAGTAGAAAACTTGGAAAATGTGAAAAGGGGGAGATATTAAATTTATTGAAAAACCCTAAAAAGCAGCACCATTTTTGCAATTTCTTTCCAAATTAAAGGATATATAATAAAAAATATTTGGTCTAATTAGGAGGTAAATAATTTTAATATCGGTGTCATCAGCTTTTTTACTGTTTTGCAGTACTACTTCATTTCACTGCTTATTTAAATCCAACAACGCACAAAGCACTTTTCCGACTAGTTTATTATCTGTACCTATGGAAAAATGTTTGCTTTACGCACTTGTACAATTTTCTATTTTGATTTCCTCGTACAAGATACATTTTTTTATTTCTTTTAAATAATCGATTTTAAGCAAAGTTTTTAACTTCAATGCGGTATTTTTTCGGAAATATCAATAATAAAAATATATTCTAGATTATAAACTACAAAATCATTAATGGAAATTATATTTTTTTTATATTTTATTAAAATATTTAAAATTAGTTTGATGTGGGAATCATAAAGCAAAACATTGCATAAAAGCTGCAAACTCTATCATTTCCAAACTATATAGCGTGAAAAGTTTAACTGGAACAAATTGTGTAACTTCATAAATAATGGTTTGTCGCAAAATTTCTAAAACTGTTAATTCTCATTTTCAATGGGGCATTTAATTCTTTGTGGGCTGATCGTAGTTAATGAGTCATATTATAGGTTCGTTATTATGTTCAGTGCAATACAAGTGCGTGTGTCTCTGTTAATGTTTTCAATTATTTAATGTTTTAGTTTTTAACATTTCGTGTGTATCGTTTTTGGTATGTACGAAGGTAATTTTTTGAAATGGTACCAGTTTTATTATTTGTAATATCCTATCAAGCTAGAATAAGGTAGAGACGAAATAAACACTATTTTGCGTTATAACTGATGGGCGCACTTCAGAAGACGAAAAAATATAATAAAAATGGTGACTTGAGTGTTACTTTGACTTCTTTGAAGACATTAGTTTTATATTTGAAAACGGTATTTATTTTCACCAAAAATGGTTAGCTTTACTATCTGGAGTTTGACTTATGAAGTAAAAGTGTAATGTAAAGATGCGGACACTTTAGCATCGTCATAGCATCTATCTCCTCTTTATTCTATCTCAATAAAATATCTATAAAACTATATTCCTATACAGGGACAAAACGCTTTTTAGTAGAAAAGACAAATAAGGCACTCACTGACAGAATGATTATTTTTGTGATTACCTCTATGATTAAATACTTTTTTATGTAGAAAATATAAGAATATAGATAATAGGACCTTACTGAAGAGGGAATATTAAATTTGTTGTAAAATGATGATTTGTTCGATATAGATATCTGTCTGCTGATGGAAATGGATATATAATAAAAGTGATGATTTTTTAATAGTTATAGATGTGGATAACACGACAGTGATCTTGATGCTACTAGTGATTAAGAAAGTGATGAACAAAAGTTGACAGCTGTCCGCAAACTAAAACAAATTTAAAGAAAGCATGTCTCAACATAACAAAAGCCATGAAAACCACACCGACCAGAGCCATGGAAGCCATTTTTAGTCTCACGTCCATTAATATTTACATTAAGGAGGTTGCTCTGATGACAGTGACGCCGTCGCATGTTTGGAATAGAACCTGATGTAGGATCTGGTGTGGCGAGACGTCACTTTTGGTGGGAGGCGCTCGATACGCTCCCACTGCTTTAAGCGAACATGGACTCCATCTCAACGAGATATATATTCCATAAATCATATAAAGTTATAACAAAACAAATAGAAGAGTCGGAAGTGGCAGGTACGATTAATATCTACACCGACGGTGTTAAAACAATTCAAAGCATAGGATGTTTAATATACTCCAGATCTTTAAACCTAAACATAAAATGGGCTGTGAGAAATAGTGTCAGCTTACGGAGATTTTGATAGCAGCAATAGAAATCAAAGAAATCACAAGAAATACTATAACTGGAAGGAACATGCTAATCCATACAGATAGCAGACAAGCACTACTCATCCTGGACAGACCACAAATTTACTAAGGGTTAGAACATGTCACGAAGCTTTGCCTGAAATTTCCATCAACTTAAGATGGATCAAAGGTCACGCCACATCTAAAGATAACCGTCTTACTGATTCACTAGCCAAGAAGGCAGCCAACTAAATAATTTTTGGACCCGTCCCTTCTATTGGACTAACAATATCGGTAGTGACAAACTTAATTAAAGAAGCTACATACTTGCCAGGAAGGTTTTAAGTTATCCTGGCAACACTGCAGCAAACAAATACTTGACTATGACTTCTCATAATCTGCACCTAATCACAGGCTTTTTGACTGGTCATTACCCAGTACGGAAGCATCTCCATATCATGGAACTGTCAGAATCCGCACTCTGCAGGGGGTGCGAACAAGAAAATTAGACCATCAAGCATATTCCCTAGGATTGCCCGACGCTTTCATTAATTAAAAAATGAGTGTTTTTTGAGAATTAGCTAACACCGGCCGATATAAGAGAAGCACCTCATCGCGACGTTATTAATTATATTAAATCTGTAGGCTGGTGCACGAGCTAGGAAGTGTCTATCTACTTGGGAGGATGCAAAATGGACCTAGTGAGGCCTAAGTGTCATGGGTTTACCCACCCTCTACATCTTACACATACAAATTGAAACCGATGAATATGTAGTAACAGAAGTCATTGATGAGCATAGAAAAAAAAAACGAAAAAAAATATAAGGCTTTTTTAAAGGCAGAAACTTTTACCAGCACTTTTTTTGTTAACGTTAGAATTTTATCTTATTTGTAGTTTTTTATCACAATCAATCAAGATATTTTCTAAATAGCAAATATAGCTATCAAAAGAAGTTAATAAAGTAGATTCGTTCCTACACAAATACATGTTAAAAAAAGTGGAGAGTATAACACTTTTTCTTTTGTCAAATTTTGTTAAGTAACTAAATACACACTTTTAATATGTTTTTTTTGCTGTTTACTGTTTTCTGCATTAAACTAAAAGGGATAGAAGCAAAATACTTATTTAGGGAACCAAAAATAGGTCAGAATTTACTAAGTGAAAATTTGAAAACAAACAGAATTTAATATTTCTTTAATTGATGACACTGTGAACATTTAGCAAAACACAATTTACATTTAAAAGGGAACAACTGTGGAGGTATTTGTTGCTGTATTTTATTTAATCCTCTCAGCCCTAGGACACCTACCCCTAAAATTTTATATAGCAACCTCCACTAATTTTAAAATTTTAAAAATTAACATTAACATCTATTTTAAATTTTTTTATCATAATTGAAGTACTTAACCTCTTGAATTTATGAAGTATATTTAATTTATTAAATTAAAATAATGCAAGTTTAAATGGGGTTCCACCTCATAAAAAGTATAACAATGAAGGTATTGTCATACTAAAATTTCTGACCAGACCTAACCTAATTACTTTATAAAATGTTCAAAATGGTTTCTGCATTTGGACGTAATCATGCAAAAAGAAACCAAGTGACAACATTCCGAAAATGGGTTAATATGCATGAAAAGGTGTCTTTTGAATACAAAAGTAAAAAAACCTAAATTGTTGAAAGGTAATGAAGTACAAGAAAGTGCAATATTTTTTATACTGATTTTATTATGTTGCAAAAACTTTAAATCTCATTTTCTCAAAAATATCTTGTTGTCGCTTGGTTCCTCTTTGTATATCCACATCCATGGGAGATAAAAATTTAAAATCTAGAATCACATAAATATTAAAAAAATTGCGAAATAGGTAGTGATTGTTATTTAAAATTTTAGGGTTAAGTGCCCTGGAGCGATGAGGTTAAAAATTTAAAACAGATTTAATCTATCTAGAATCACTTAAAAATTAAAAAAAAATGCGAAATAAGTAGTGGTTATTATTTAAAATTTTAGATTTAAGTGCCTTGGGGGTAAGGGAGTTAAATGTAATACAACAACAAATACCTCAACAGTTGTCTATCTTGATATATAAATTGACGTGTTTTCATAGTGTATTCAGTCAAAGAAATATTAAGTTTCGTTTGCTTTCAAATTCTCACCCAGTGTATCAAGATGAAAGCTTTCAAAGACACAATTATGACGAAAGGGTTTTGAAAACTCTAAAGTTCTATATTTTTTCCTTGAAATATTATTGTGAATAATAATGACAAAAAATTGCCTATTTCACTTTTCACTAATTATACCTACTGTCTAAAGAAAAAACTTGTTTAATTATTTTCAATTCCAAAAAAATATATTACAATCAAACCATTTTTTTTTATATTAAAACAACAAATTAAAAAGCTATTACACAAATGTTTTAGTTCCCAAACTCTTAAGAGTTTTCTTAATTGAGAAATAGAATAAAAGTATTCAAATAAGATACGGAGTGTTAAACTTGATAAATACCACGTAATTTACACACTGGCCTACGTCGATCTTTAGTAAACACTCTTTACATCATGTACGTTGAAAATTTTGATTTATTATTAAAAATTATAAATCCAGCAATAGTTAATTTTTCTGTAAATATGTTCACACCTGGACTAATAAAAATAATTATCTAAAATATATCCTTACTTATTTACGACTCAATGTTAGAGGAACATATTTTTGATGCCAAAAGATGCTACAATAACATTTGTTACAAAAATTACAATTATTAGCTTTCTCATGGAATAACTGGTATTAAAAAAGGCTAGTTTTAAGTTTAACATTCTGTATATCAAACATTTAAAAAGCTATCATTTTGGAAAATTATCTTTTACGGATGGTTGATACGCTAGTAAAGAAATATATCTTTACAGGTTGATTAAACAAAAATGTTTTTTACGCTTCAACAAATTATCTATTAATCTATTAAGTAAATCATCATGTAGTTAATGAAATAAACAGTTATATACGGTAGAAAAATATCAAATACATGAAAACATTACTTTTCACATTAATTATTTATGAAAAAACATAT